CGATTTAAGATTCAGTCATATGTAATTTGTATCTCACAATCACAACTCCTTGTGATTAACAAATCACCAAGACTTGAATCTACGGATTCTATTATTTAATTTATTAGAATATTAATTCAATTAAATAATAGATATTGCCATATATATGCATTGATTATATATATTCAAAGTGTTTATGTCCAAAGTTGATTGGACCTAGGGCATAACACTTACAGCAAGTTCATAATTATTTCATTTTGTCTTCATATTTTTAGGTTTATAATTGCTAGGTTTCATCCAAAAATAAATAAATACACTGCAGCTATATGTTTAGTCACACATCTGCATGCAATATTTCAATTGATTTTTGTTCTAAAACTTGAGAAATCACATGAGTCCTAATTACATTCAATCGTAATTAAAAGAAATAGATCCAGTCACTGCATCACCGGGAACTATAATTTAAAAATTTAAGTGAAAACCTCAAAGTATATTCTACTTATTATGTGTTTATTTATACTTCACAAACAGTTTAGCGATATAATTTGACAATATATTGATAAGAACGTCTACTTTCTAACTATAATTTAAAAAAAATGACTTGTTGACCCAGCCAACTCGACTCGATTAGCTTGCAACGTTGGAGAATTGACAGGCCGGTCGAGTCCACAGAATTTGAAAATGGTTTTGGCTACGTCCGTACCATATTTTAAGAAGGCTAAATGGTTAATTAACAACTACAAACATTTAGGGGACTAAGTTGAAAATTAAGGTTAATTAAAAAAAATGTAATATTACAAAAGCTGGAAGAAATATCTTCAAACTATTTTTTATGTTGCTATATGTAATTTTTCTGTAATTTTTTAACGTGTATGTAACTATGTGTTTCTTCCCAATTTTATTGCATGTAACTGTTTTGCAGAAACCACATATTTATGTTACATTGACTGTAACCTACACTCTATATTAAAAAGGATGAACCGCATCCTTGACAGTCCCTACCTATTCTGCATTGGGCCTTAATGAATGAGGTAAATCGCATGTTTTGCAAGGTTACCATATCCCACCTTCCGATGAACATGACTTGCACTTACCCAAAAGGCCAAATCCATATTTCAGGATTCGAACCATTGACGCGGCAGCTTCAAGTAAAGTTGGAGTTTTTTCACCTTACCATTTTACCACTTGGAAATGTGCCATGGGGCAACCTGCACTCTATATTAACTTACATTTAATCATGTTAAAGTAAATGTAATTTTTTTGAAATTTGTAACTTTCAGTATGCATTATTGCTGTTACGTTGTGTGTGATTTTTTAAAGGTAAAGATATTGATACATAATTTAATGTACTGAATTGTTTATCCCCTTTCACATGCACGCGGACACGCGTGAATAAAAAAAATCCCAAGATGTGGTCCCCCCGTTGTGAGTAGTCGGTAAGAAATTAGATAAAAAAAAATCTGGTACATGTGTCATGATTCATTTTTAAAATTATAACTTGCTAACATATGCATCACTACTGTAGCCATAGCCACCTTCTACCAAAGATCATCACAAAATGACAAGAGACACAAAAAATGACTACAAATCACCATTTCGAAAATCACAAATCTCTAATCGAACCCACCACCATCACAACCATTATGCTACATCTTCCCACCATTACTATCACCACCACCAACCTACTTCCACCATATTTGGTCTCAAAGCCACCACAACCAAAAAATTCAACCACCACCAACTCCTCCACCCCTACTCAGCACAACCCCGGTTAGCATACAAACCCCATACATTCAATCCAAAACACTAGCACTGTCGTTAACCCACACGTGACACCACCCCAACCGGAACTACACAAATTATGTCGACACGGTTCAATTCAATAAATTAAAGAGAAAAAAGAAAGATATGATTTAGCACAAAGGGCAGTTTACTTTTGAAACATAGAATATTGTTTATTTACTCATATTATGCGCGTCTTTTTAAACATACGATATATATATAAATCATTAAATCAAAATCAAAGGGTCACGAATATAAAAGTTAAATATTCGAATGTGAATCTGCAAAAATAAAAATGTTAAGAACCAACTTATTACGACACTCTTTAACTCGAGAATCTTGACTGTATTTTTCACTAAAAAAACACGGAATAGGACAAAATGCATAGAGATTCTTAAATGGTCCCTCGACATAATTGAGTACCCCAAAGCGTCTACTCCAAATCTTAGTGCAAAAAACCCTAATCAAAAGGCCCATCATTTTACTACTTTAATTATATAATAATAACCCAATGATATCTTCATAAATATATTCTCTAATATATATATTTTTATTTAATATATTCTCTTTTTATTAAAATTATGATATTTCACGTATCATTTTACTCTCCTTTATTCGACAAATTTTGATCTCGTGAAAATTCCATGGCCGAAGAATAGGTCTTTTCGTTTAAATTCTAAAATTATCCATTTAATATTTCAAGAAAAAAGTTCTTAATTTAAAAATCTTCATAGATAAAGATATTTGCAATATCTTCGATGATTGTCGTGTAATAACTCTTCAATGTTTCACATCAAAGTTTGTAGAATGAATTGTCACGGAAGTTCTTCAAACTTGTTATGAATCACATTGTGGTATGAAATGGAGAAGCGAAAAGCTGAAAACGAATGGATTAAATGTTTAATTAACTTAATATATTTTGGATCAACTCGACAAAAAAGCATAATTCATCGTATGCTTAACTAGTCCAACTCGACTAAAATCAAGAATAAGTTCCATCAACTCTACAATCAGACAATCAAGCTAATCTTCTTTTTATTAGAGAAAAATAGATGAGACTCATGTAAATATTTTAAACAAAAATATTATCAATTTGCACTTTGTTCTTTACAGCATGAACTTGTAATATTTAACTTTTAAATTATTATTTTATAATTTTAAGTAGGACCTTTTTCACCTAAAAAACCTACTTTTTTCTAACTTGTTCCAACCCTTCATTGACTGAGGAGACACTGACAAATTCCTGGAAAATAGCAAAGGCCCCCATTCTATTGCACAATGAATATTTGTCTCCAATCTTTCAAATGGGACATTTTAATCCCAAACCTTTAGTAAATAAAAGGAAAGAACAAACTAAAATTGCGTTCATCTTCTTCAAGCGCCTTGAAACAATTTTGGGATTTTGTCCTTTATTACCTTGCACCAAATTTGGACTTCGAGCCGCACCAATGCGAAATACTCTTTAGAGCAAGTTTGAGCCTCATTTTTTCTTAAGAATTCATTTTGAAATAGTAGAATAATGGAGAATATGTGGTTGAAAAATAAGGAAAAATTTTGAATTTGTGTGTAATATTATTTTATTGAAAAATGTATGGTTGAAATGATAAAATAGAAAAATGTATTTTGAAAATAATAAGTATCAAACAGGGGCTTAAATCTCTTTCTTTATAATAAGATTTTTTTTCTTTCTTTTATTGTGGCGTTATCATTATGACATGTTTCTTATTTAATGGATCAAACCTGAAAACACCCAATGTAAAGGTAATAAAACCACTGCATGGCATCCATCACCTAATTTCTTATCAGTTGGTGCAAACGAATTCAGTAACGTCGTCAACACAATAAAAAAGGCATTTAACAAAAGAAAATATTAAAATAACTTCTGAAAATAATGTGTTTTATTTCATCAAACTCATGCAGTTATGTTTTAGAATTAGAGAAAAAGAACATTTCCAGATGAATGAGCTCGATATGTGATGCACTAGGCAGATGTTCCAATTCTTTTTTTTTTCTCCCTTTATCTTTCTTATTATTTTATTTAATTAAGTTTAGAATTAAGAGTTTACCTCTATATCCTTGCAAATAATACACGTGCCCGCGCATATATCATTTTATAGACAATTTTAAGTAGAAAAGACCTCGGATGAAACTTAAATGAGAAGTGTAGGGACTAAGATGTAACAAGAGCAATAGATTGAGGACCTCAACCACTATTTTCTTGTGTGTATATAAACACACAGAGTTACGGTTTGAGCATCAATTCCGTATACTAGGTCAATCCAAAAGGACCACGACACCGGCGCGTCTTTTATAAGCAGAGATTCTCTTCACACAAAAGTGAGTAGGATTTGATTGTGTGATCACTGCGAATCACAGCAATAATTAAAAAAGTAAATCAATATTTATTTATAAACATCATAGGAGAAGATGGCAGAGGAGACCCATCTGACTGAATTGCCGGGGAAGAGGCTGCGAGAAGAGGCGGCGAAAGAAAACGGTGGTGTTTCTGTTCAGATGGAAGAGAGTAACGGTGTGGCGGCGCCGGCTGAGTGTATTTCAACTATAATCCCTGGCTGGTTCTCTGAGATTAGCCCAATGTGGCCTGGCAAGTTCCCAACTCTTTTCATGCACATGTACAAATTTTGGTGTGTTTATAGATTTGGGTTTTTGTTCTTAAGATTAAGATATATCTGCTGATTGGTTTGATCAAAATTTGAATTTTATGTATATCGCTAGTTATATAATTTCCTTTGCATAATTTGGTAATACTGTTTGAATTCATGCTTAACTGGTTTCCATTAGGTTGATTTTTACCTTTTAATTCTGTCGTGTTCTTGGTTCCATTTGCTTGCATAAAGTTTCTTTCTTTTTCTTTTTATTTTTGAGGGTGGTGGTGAGTTGTTAAAAGCTATATTAGGTCAATGTCCTTTCAACTTTTCTTTTGCATCATCTTCAAATGCAATATTTACAGCATTTCTGGGCATAATTCATATGAATTTCAGCTGCAAATTGTTTTTCTAACTTATTGTTGTATTTTACTTGATACTTTGACTTTGTACGCCCTACTTGACAAGTTTATAGCTCTGTTTGAATATCGTAGTATGGGGTTCGTGCATTTTTCTTCCAATTGTTCAATGTCTTCCTTTTCCTCTTTCTTTTACAGAGTTGTATTTGCCAGGCATCATTTTTCTTGGATACTGCAAGCAGTTAATCCCATTGCATTACTGTGCATAGATGTATATTGCAGCCAAGGAATTAATTTGAACATTTATGTTTGGCATTTTTAGACTTATCAAACTTCTGGCTATGTACAATCTTGAGCAAGACTTTTGTCTTGAGAAATTACATTTCTACTGTCTTATTTCCTGATTATTGGGTGGGTTTGAAAAGGAAAGTTCTAATAAAGGTGCTTTAACGTATATTAGAAATTTAGAATTACTCGTCATGTTATTTTTGTTAAACTTGATTAATACATCAAATCTGTAATGTCATAAAGAGTAGGAGTATAGCTGTATAGGTCTATTCTCCATACTTGCATCTTTCGGACTTCAATTAAGAGTTCCCTTCTACAATGCCGGAGAAGAAATTCTCATAGTAAATAAGTTATTATTTTACTTCTTGGCACATGATTTGCTTAAAGATATCACTTTTCTACAGAAACATACATTTTGTTGAATTGGTGACCATGAATTTCCTAGTGTTAGGCTGACAAATATTTTGACTTATGTGTTCAATGAAATTCTCATTGACTTAATAATTCAATGTTTTGTGATTCATGTGGCTAAGGTTTATATTGTTTACCTCTTTAAGCAATGTAAGTATCGACAATATATTCCTTGCCTCTTACCCCTCCTGACAAGGAAACAATATTCAATGTATGCACGTGTGACATGAGAAGTTTTACCATCTTAAAAATAATGATTTTGATTAGTCTCCTCGATATTCGTTGTTTCTTATTTTATTTCTTGTTTTAGAAATCATTTTGTCTTCATTAATTATGACTCTAAATGAGTTTCTTGGTGAAAATCATGTAGGAGAAGCACACTCATTGAAGGTAGAGAAGATATTATTTCAGGGGACATCAGATTATCAGAATGTCATAGTGTTTCAGGTATTTGAAACTCTTTAAATAATGAATGTTGTATAGTTATATTTCGCTGAACAATAAAATTGCTAAGTTTTTTAGTACATCTGAATACATAAATTTGGGTTGATTCTGTCTGCAGTCATCAACTTATGGGAAGGTTCTTGTCTTGGATGGTGTAATTCAACTCACTGAAAGGGATGAATGCGCGTATCAGGAAATGATTACTCATCTCCCACTGTGCTCAATTCCAAACCCAAAAAAGGTATTTACACTGATGACTGCATGTGAAATTTTTCTTTGTATCATTGAGTAGATTGTGCACACCACGTAATTTAGTCTCTCCATCCCTGCCCCCTAGTTGCCTTGACATTTGAATAGACACCCCTTTACAGTATGTTTGGCGAAGCTTATTTCTAAGTAAAGTTACTTTTAAATGACATTTTCTGTCCAAACATGTTTCGTTAAGATACTTTATTTCTTACTTTTAAGTTAAAACAAGTTACTTATTTTCAACTTTCAGCAATAAAATAAAGTAACTTCATTAATTATGAGTGAACTTTTTAAGCTCTTATTGCGTGATGTCTCTGATCTTCATCGAGTCAATGTTTCAATTTTCCTTTCTCTCTACAGGTACTAGTTATTGGTGGAGGAGATGGTGGTGTCTTGCGTGAAGTGTCTCGCCATTCTTCTGTTGAGAAGATAGATATCTGTGAGATTGATAAAATGGTCGTCGATGTGAGTAATTCTTAATTTTACCCTTTCATTCTGTGTTTGTATTTTATCCTTCTCACATTCCTTTTCTTTCCATTCTTTTGCTTGTATGTTACTTATGTAGAGGATTTGAATGGTTTTGTTCTGCTAAATAAGATCTAGTTGAGCTTTTATAACCCTAAACTTCTTTAGTTACGGATTCTTCTGATTTCATTTTTAGGATTTTTAAGAATAGATACTGTAAACATTTCTAATCTATTTTTCCATCCCAGGTTTCAAAACAATTTTTTCCTAAGGTAGCTGTTGGATATGATGATCCCCGTGTAACACTTCATATTGGCGATGGTATGGTCAGCAATGCCCCCTCTTTTTCACTTCTTGTAGTCTTTGGTGCCTTCTCTTTGACTTGAAAATTTTACTTCGAATTTCTTCAAACTTTCAGGAGTTGCATTTTTGAAGGCTGTTCCTGAAGGAACTTACGATGCAGTTATAGTGGATTCTTCTGACCCAATAGGTAACGTCTTCAATTCCTATAACCCACTTTGGAAAGATCCACTTCAAGTGTTCTAAATCGTGTTTGCATCACTCAGGTCCTGCACAGGAGTTGTTTGAAAAACCTTTCTTTCGGTCTGTAGCGAAAGCTCTTCGTCCAGGAGGGGTTGTATGCACCCAGGCTGAAAGCATATGGCTTCACATGCACATCATTGAAGATATTGTAACTAATTGCCGCCAGATTTTCAAGGGTTCTGTGAACTATGCTTGGACCTCAGTTCCTACTTACCCAAGGTATTCTTTTTTTCCGCTCTTTCTTGTTCTTTTGAGGGTCTTTTTCTTTCCCTTCCCCCCAGCAATTACCTCAATGCTTTCCATTGGTCGATCTGATTTCACTGTTTCTAAATCCATTATGCCGATATAGAGAAAGACTATGCACCTGTTTGGTAGATATTAAAATCAGATTTTTAGTAGATTTTGATAAAAGTTAATGAAACGTGTGGATGAAAAGTTGCGGCTTCCATAAAATGTGTGGTTAAAATTAATTGTTGACTTTGACTTGAAATTTTAATCGAAACCGAACAGGGGCTATGTAAATTATGTAGAATCCACCATTGATGTACTTTATGTATCTTCCTGCAGTGGTGTTATTGGATTTATGCTCTGTTCCACTGAAGGATCCGCAGTCGATTTTAAGCATCCCATCAACCCAATAGATGCTGAATATAGCCATGTCAACACAAAAGGACCCTTAAGATTCTACAACTCCGAGGTATACCATGTCTCCTTGTAAAGCTACACATTCTTCCTGTGATTTACTTGGGGTAACTTTTATGCTTGGTTTTACTTTCAGATACATTCTGCAGCTTTCTGTTTACCCTCATTTGCAAAGAGGGTGATCGATTCTAAAACCAATTGATAAAGCTCCAAGAGCTATCAGAAGAGCAGGAATTAGCTGCTAACAAGTACTCCAAGTAGTCATTTCTTTAGACGAGAAATCGGTCCAATTGATTTCCCTTTTTACTTTTACTTACAATCATCAGTGCCTTGAGCATTAGTTCATCTTGTTGAAGAATCGATCCATCAATGTAACATGATATATACATTTGTCATACTTTCTTATGTCTTGGTTAAAGTCCTCTTCCCCTCTGAAATCAATTATCCAATAATTTCTCAGAGCCTCTTATGTTTCTATGACTTTGAATTGGTCAGCATCTATCGAGATAACAAAGAAACCAGAAAGTCCGCATATGATGCACAAATTTGTTGTAGGACATTAGAACCTTATGCGAAGTGTACATGTTTTCGTATACATGTTTTCCCGATCGAACCAAATAGTAATTTTTTTTGGAGAATGTGTAATTAAAAAGAAGTAAAAAAATTTAAATTTATGCGTAGAATTATTTTATTGGGAGAAATGTGTGGATGAAAATCAATTTAGAAGATGAGGCTAAAACAAAGGTTAAATGCACGTCGTTCTGTATCCTGGAAGTGAATCCTTACGGTGCACACAGCTTAGAATACAGTTTTGAAGCTCTTAGAAGTTTACCAAACTTGGGAGATTCAAAGAAACTTGAACATTACTTGTTTAACGGGGGCTGGCATTTAACCAACCAAATACGAGCAACGATGAAAATCGAGAAATTTCAAAGACGGTAATTACATTGGGATACAGTATATTTTTTATTTTATTTTATTTTTTTAGTTGTAATACCATTTAATTGCAATAAAAGTCTCCAATCAATACTCATTCTCTCATTTTAAGTCCTCAATTTTTTTAATTGCGTTCTTATTTTTCAACATTTTATTAATTAGCACATCGTCATGTTCCGTCCATGCAAAATATCCATTAGAAAGGTTTAAAGTAAAAACATAGCACATACAAAAACATGAGAAAATGTGCTAATAGAATATTTACACAGAAATCATAAGATCATACGTGTTAATTAGTGAAAGATTGAGGATACTATTGACCCCAAAAAATGAACAAATAGAATCCCTACCACGTTCCCTCCACGTGGACATCACCTGCACATTGAACACCCCGTTATGAGGCAAATGCCGCCGATCGAGAAAAATGTCCACTGACCGTTTGCACTTCGACTGTCAAATCAACGGCCGGACAAAAGAAAAAGAGAGACAAGGAGAATTTGGATAAGGTTAGAGAACGTACCTTAATTATGAAATGAATTATGTATATATAGGAAATGTAAATAGGCATGTGATCCTAATGGGCCGGACCCAAGTTCAGGCCCAAAAATATCCGACTTGATTAAATAGGTCGATTGTAATTAAATAGTCAATACCATGTAATATATGGGTGTAACAATAGTCCCCCAAGTCTGAGTAATACATTCATGTGCGAGTCAAACTTTGAAGTGTAAATAGTCAAGTCAGCCAATATGAGATCCTCTTCGTCGAACGTATGTTACGTAAACCCCCAAAGTCTAAGTCGTACATTCATGTGCGGGTCAGATTTCGAAATACAAGCTGTCAGTAGGTGAGGTCTTACATATTGCCTAAAAATATAAGTAGCTTGGATAAGTGAGGACTTACGAACTGCCTCGAAAATATGCTTTGGTCCAAAATTGGTGAAGACTTACGAATTGCCTCGAGAATATAACCGCTCCACTAAGTGAGGACTTTGCCTCAGAAAAATGTGTGCAAGCCTGAATAAATGAGGACTTACGAATTGGCTCAAAAGGTAGATACTGCATATAATTTGTTGAAATTTCGGCAACATTTCCTCTATAATATGGACTAAACCAACTCGTAATACAATATAATATCCCCGCTGCACATATATAAAATAAATCGGGATCCGTTTGCTCCTCAAATTACTCATGAAGATAAAGTGAATAATGACATATCACATTTCTCCTAAGATATACTATGAAAAAAGCCTATCATGTATCATAACAGGTCATATGCGTACACAACTTAATGTAATAGTAGCGCTATAGTGAAGCAAGTAATATGTTGATAACGTAGATAACGTGACATACGTACTGGCAGTATTGAAAATAGTGTCATGACATGCTAGCATGATGTGGTATGCATACTTGTCCGCAATAATATAATACATATGCTAGTAGTAATAATGTAATGATACAAGGATACTAGTATCACAACAGTCACCCAAGTCTGAGTCGTACATTCATGTGAGGGTCGGACTTGGAATATAAGCCACTGTGATGAAGCTAATGTAGGCTGAATAAAGCGAATCGAGACCCTTGCTAAAGAGGGTGAGTCATATTGAAGCAAGTGAAACCTATGATGAGGCTGAATAAAGCGAGGTGAGACCCTCGTTGAAGAGGGCGAGCCTTATTGAAGCAACTGAAGCCTGTGATGAGACTGAATAAAGCGAGGCGAGATCCTTACTGAAGAGGGCGAGCCATATTGAAGCAACTGAAGCTTGTTTTGAGGCTAAATAAGGCGAGGCCCTTGCTGAAGAGAGAGAGCCATATTGAAGCAACTGAAGCCTATGGTGAGGTTGAATAAAGAGAGGCAAGATCCTTACTGAAGAGGGTGAGCCATATTGAAACAACTGAAGCCTATGATGAGGCTGAATAAAGCGAAACGAGATCCTTGTTGAATAAAGTGAGGCGACGTCCTTATGTAAGCAGCAGAGGTGATGCTTTAATATAAGTAGTAGAGGTGAATCTCTGAATGTAAGTAGTAGAGGTGATGCTCTAAATGTAAGCAGCTGTGATAAGCTGATGTTGAGACGAGGCTCTGAACTGAATATAAATTGTTGAAATGCCACTGATACATAGGCTATGCTTTCAATATAAGCAGTTGTGATAAGCTGACGTTGAGGCGATGCTCTGAACTGAATATAAACAATTGTAATGTTACTGATGCGTAGGCTATGCTCTGAATATAAGCAGCTATGATAAGCTGATGTTGAGGTGCTCTAAATGTGTAGATGCTCTGAATGTATAAATAGCAGAGACGATGCTCACTTATGGGCTCACCATAATAAATATGAATGTAAATATGGGCTCGACATAAAAAAATTTGAATATAATGTAAGAGCTTGTCATACTTAACGTAACTTATGAGCTTGTCATAGATAATAAGTTGGAGATATGGGCTTGCCATATTTTAACCGATGAAGAAGTGTATGAGCTTGTCATACATATGGGCTCGCCATATAAAATCTGTCGTATGAGCTTGTCATACTTAGTCTTGAATAGTAGCGTATGGGTTTATCATACACTTGTGCTCGTCATAGTTGTTAAGAAAACCACGAGCTAGCCTTGATGAGTGAGGACTTATGGGCTTACCTTAAATATTAAAATTCATTAGTGAAAACTTTGAAGTCATCCAACAAGAGAAGACCCATGTGGGAGAGTGTGCCCTCACAATTTAGAATTGTCCTCCAACAAGATGATCAGTTCATTAGCAATATCGTTTGGAATTATAACAGCACATCGTCCACATCTTTCACAATTCATTGTAGTGAATAACTTAATGAATCCACTAGAATGTAAGTAAAATAATTTGACAACCTCAAAGATCTTGCCTTGACATTAGCTCCCCATAATACAGGAATTCAACATAAAGTAGTAAATAAAAATTGAAAATTGATGCGTTTAGCCCCAAGTGATCACTTTGAATGGATTTTTTTTTTTTTTTTGAAATAGCTTATAGCATCAATAAAGTCCCAAATCATTCCAGAATCTATTCCATATTTAAGTAGTTGGAATATCTCAGAACTCGCAGCTAGTTTGGCTGAAGGGGGAAAATTACAACTTGTACAATTTCACGTTCCACTTAAATGTGGTCCAAAATAAGGGGCTTCACAAACGGGACGAGCCCAACAAAAATCATAAGACTAGGAGGCGGCCCAAAATGTACCATTGAACTATAACCATACCGATATGCCATTTCTCCAACCTAAAATTCTGGAAGAAGCAATAAAGTACTACTGGCCCAAAATAAATAAGTAGAACCAATAAAATGAAGCATCAATGGGCCCAACAAATCTGGACAAGTTGAGGAGTAATGAAGCCCAAGGATGGCAATTAGTGCGGCCGAATTTTATATAAACATTTGATCCATAATCTCCAAAGCCCATTCATTAATGTGCATTTCTTCCAACCTTTTTAGTGGCTGGAAATAATTCATAGTAAACCAAAAAAAAAAAAAAAATACCAATTAGTAGAAAACATCTCTCTCTTTTGCCAACAAAAAGCCTGTCATAAACCATTTGAATACGTTTCCATCATTATATGTCTCAATCAAAATTAATGCGGATTGAAACCCGATTAAAGAGATACCATGGACCAGCGGTTAATGTGGTGTTGCGGGGTGTCGATCAGGAGGTTGGCATTACAGTGTTCGTTGGAGCTCATGGAGGTTTCTACGATAGTTGAGACAATGGACAAAAGTCAGAATTGGACATTTTCATACCCTGTGGTGCCAACAGTTGCTTTAACGGTGGGTAACAGAGGATGCTTCATGCCTTGTGGTTAATCCATCCTTGATTTGGGCATTTCATCAAGCATTTAGAGAATGGTAACAAGGGGCTGATTTGCAGCAGATTTTTTATTTTCTAGAGACCTTTTCCATAATCTATGTTTTCCACTATCTTCACTATTCGCTTGAAAATATACCGCAAGTGCACTGGTCGCGTACAAGTAATAAAGTGGACTTTTAGAGTCCGAGATTTCGATCCCTCGAGGAAAAGACAGCTCAACTCTTCTTTAAACATATTGTCAAATATTGGAGACTGCCTAAGGATATTGTCAATGATCGGGATCCTGATTCACTAGCATATTTTTTAACCGAGTTGTTCAAACTTCTTGGTTCAACTTTGAGCATGAATTCTAGTTTTCACCCACAATCTAACGGGCAGACGGAGCGCTTCAACTCTATGCTGGAAAAATATCTTCAGCACTTTATCTCTACTTC